GACAGTTGAGTCAAGCACTGAAAGCATAGTATGGAAATCACTCATTTGATACTGTCAGAGAAGTTTCTTTGAACTTGTCAGTACTGTAATTGTGTCAGTCATTGATGGCTTTGGGCTGCACATTTCTAACAGGATACAGAGCTTCAGGGTTGTTTAGGATTTACCCAGAATCCTCGATTTCAATCTTACAATAGGGTTAAGAAATTAAATCTTTCACCTTTGATTTACTAAACACACCTACCGTGGGAACTGCACGTCCTTTCTTAAAAACCATCTCCCACGTGGAGCCCATGCCAAGTAGCATTGTAATTACCAGTAATTTATAAATACATTGTTTGTTTTTCTGGAAGAGAGAGGGAACATGAAGTCACCACATTATGTAGTTTGGGTTCCTGTGGTTGTCAGCTTTATCCTCCCTGCTTGTGTTGCACATCTGCTTGTCCTACCTTTCCACTCTTTGGGTTGTGCTTTTAAATTTCACACAGCCTTTGAGGACTGGGCACTACTGACTGTGTAACACAGGTAATAAGAAGTGATGAGTAATATGCCGGCTGTGAGTTTCATGAATGATACTAATTCCCAAGTTTACAAGCCTTCCCAAGTCTGTTTGCTCGGTGACTAAAGGGATGCTCTCAGTTCAGTAGGAGAATTGGTGGTGTCCATGCTGAGAAAAGGCTTCGTGGGAAAGAACTATTTGCATTTGATCTTGTCAGTTATCATGGGTATGTAAGTCAGCAGAGAATGAAATAGCTTCCTTGCTTTTTAAATACTTTTCATCCATATGAGATAGTTAAATGTAAAATCTAGATGTCACTGAGGTTTGTAATGGTCCCTGGAGGTCTTTGGGTCAACAGCAGTAATTGTGTCAGAAGTTCATTATAAAGGCAGGAAATGTTGCTACTATATGCTTTTATTTTATAATGAAGTTGGCGTTATGATTTTGGGGATGAGCAGTACTGGACACCTCTGGCACTTCATCAGGCTGAGAAGTTTGAGTAAGGCAGGGTTCTTGGAGGTGCAGTCCTCCTCTTAGCACAGCCTGAGAAGTCAGAGGAGTGGGCACCTGTTGCAGCTCTGCCTACAGGAGCAGGAGCTGCTGCTGTTGTGCCCCAGCTGTAACAGCTCTGCTAGGACTTAGCAGAAGCACGTGTTAAAGTGAACAGGGTTCTTTCTTTCTGTGACTTGCAGTAGTCTGTTACATATTTTAAAGCAGTTTTGTTACAGAAAATCCTGTTTTGCAGCACCTTTCCAGGATTAGCGATTCAGCAGGTCTCCAGGCAAGCAGCGGCTGTAGGTTACGCTGCAACAGGCACTGTGAGCTGGGGTGAAGAGCTGCTGATGGTTCCCCACGCTTATTTTAACAGTAGGTTTGGCTAACACAGGGCAGCCTGAGAACAAGCCCTTGTTAGCCCTCAGCAGCAGGACAAGGCCAGGCACCAGACGCAGGGGGAAGCTGGGGGCGCCCCGCCATTGACGTCAATGGCAGTGGGGCCCGAGGCCCTCAGGTAGCCGTGGGAAAGGCTTCCCCGAGCGGGGCTGCCTGTGTCCTGGCCCCTGGCAGCCTGGGCAGGGTGCCCAGCGGTGCCTGGCCTGCACCCCGTGATGGTGGAGGGGGAATTAGGCTTGGAGGACTGCGAGGGTGCTGGCTGCTGGAGGTTCTGTGTCGTGTCTGATTGTAAAAGCAGGCTGTTTTGCTGAACAGCAGCTCTGAGATCATGAGTCAAAGGCCTGATCTGAAACTGCAGCCAGGCGTAGGACTGCGCTTGGAGGCTTTTTGTTCCTGCACTGAAGTGTTTGGGTTTGTTTGGGCCAGAAGTGTGCCCAGGGCTTGGCACTGAGTTTTGGGGATCAGTCACAATGGAGAGTGCAGCGGGAGGTGTTTAATTCACTTAGTTGAGACTACCTGAACCTGTGCTTTAAATTACTGTGAGGAGCGGCAGGTATGAACATCCCCAGCTTGCTTCCCATGGTAAAGCAAGCTCCCAAAAACCAAAGCAAGCTCCGGAACACCAAAACAAGTTCCCAAACAGCGAAGCATGAAGCCATTAGCATCCCCTCCTAGGGCCGAACCTGCACAGCTGCCTCCCTGCGCAGGGAGGGAGGCAAGAGATGTTAAAGAAAGAAATGGGCAGGTGAAGGGAGGGTGTCGGCTGGGCTCGGCGAGGGGCTGCAGCCGGCCTCCTCTCCGCAGAGCCGCCCCGCGCTCGCTCACCCGCCTCTCCCCCCGCAGCTCCTGGACCTCTTCATGGTGTGGGACTGGTCCACCTACCTGGCTGACTACGGGCAGGCCACCTCCAAGTACCTGCGGGTTAACCCCAGCACGGCCCTCACGCTCCTGGAGAAGTAAGTGCGGGGGTCGGAGCTGCCGGCACGGGGACGGAGGCGGCTCCAGGGCCGGGGCTGGAGCCGCCCGCCCTGCCGAGAGCGGCGCGGCCGGAGCCCGGCGCAGCACGGCCGTGTCCCGGTGCCGGGAGCGGCGCGGAGCGGCGGGCGGTGCCGGGATCGCGGTCGCAGCCCGCGGCTGCCCGAATTGCCGCTCGTGCCCGAATTTGGCCGCGGTGAAGCGGTGCGAGCCTTTCGGCCGGCCTGAGGGTGGTCTGGGAGGGCAGGATGAGGGCCCGTTGCCGCCATCCCGGTACCAACCTGCTGGTAAAAGCCGCATCACAACACACGGCCGTTTAAAGACGTTTTCTAACAGTGTTTTCTCTCCTCTCCTGCCTATGATGAATATGTCTTCTGCAGAGTTCACAGAGGGTACGTATCGCCTATATTGTTACAAAATATTGTTGCTTTAACTTATTTAATTTTTCGAATTTCGTTTTTAAATCAATTACTACGGGCAATCAGCGATAACAATACCCGTTATTGACGGTGAGCAAAATTCGCCCATTCGCTGCATCTGAATTTACCGTGGAGGCAGATGATATTAACGGGTTTTATGGTTTGCTTCTTTCTTATGGCATTTGGTAGGGCCAGGGTCCTGCCGAAGGGGTATTTGCTTAATATTATTTGTGAAGTAATATTTATTAAAACCAGTTCTGCATTGCAGAAGTTTAATTTAAAAACACACAGATAACAGGTTTATGATCTTTCAGTTCTTATTAGCAGAAAGATAAAAAGAGGAGCAAAAAGAGGAACCTATTTCAATAGTCGGATTTTTCCTTTTCAAAATATGTTTCTAATGTCTTTGTGTAATTTGCTTTTTTATTTCTCTAGAATGAAAGACTCCAGCAAAAAGAACAACATATTTGCTCAATTCAGAAAGAATGATCGTGACAAGCAGAAGCTAATAGAGACTGTAGTAAAGCAACTTAGGAGTTTAGTGAATGGTATGTCCCAGCACACATAGGCCTCTTAAATCAACAATATCACATCATGCCAAGAGGTGTTTCTTAGCCACTATTTCTACTAAGCAAACAGTGATACCAGTTAGGACATTTGTTTGACCAAGTAAAGGAAAAATGCAGTAGATGAATTGTACACGGAGTCTTCAACAAACAATTCTTTGTACGTATTTTTAATGGTTCGAATACTATTTTGTATATTGTAAACAAATGGTAAAAAATGAGACTGTACAATGAAAACCAGCGCATTCGTATTGTACATGGAACAGCTGAACTGTAAATACGTTATTTAAATATCTGCAGATATGGTGTCCAAAATTTTGTTCTGGGTAGGAACTATTTGAGAAATGATCCCTTAGTTGCTGTTTTCTGGTTGAATCCTAATTTAATGTTTTTAAGCATTGAGATACTTGTGTTTCAGATGCCGCCTATTGTTTTCCTGCATTAAATGTATATTAGCCTTAAAGTGACTGGACATAATTTTGTATATCAGATTTTGTAGTCTGGAGGTATGAAAAGGTCTTCTGATTTTTAGTACCTTTGAAAACTACCTGAGAACTAGACTTGATACCTATTTAGCGTTAGGACTTATAGGCTTTGTTCTCCAAAAGGGTTTAATCTTGAGGTCGTGAATGTAAATAACCATTTGAGTTCTTTATAATGTGACATTTTGTTTCGTTTTGGTTTTGTTCCTCAGGGTTACTAATTCTATTTTGTAAAATCCCGGGTTCTTTTTCCCAGGCTGCAGTAAGGAATAGGTTTGCCGCTGTTGGTTTCGTGCCGCATCTGTTTGTCAGTATGCGCTTTCTACCGCCAGCCCCATCCCAGCGATTAGCATTTTGTCCCACCACCGCTCTCTTTGCACTGTCCCCTCCTGGCTATTTTAGACACTAAGAGAATGTCTAACAAATACAAACCAAATGGAACGTGTAAAAATAATGTACATTTTTGCTGTATTTTTAAGTTATTGACGGTCTAAATACAGTAAGATAAACCTCGCTCGTGTTCCTGTTTAATTTCACACGCTGGCACGCTCCTCAGAGCCGGTTTCGCGGGACCTGTACGGGTCCTGACTCAGTGGCGATTTACCCCCGGGGAAGGCGGTCGGGGGTCGGGGCGGCCCCGACGGCGGGTAGTGGGTCAGGGGCACTGCAGGATCGTCGCGACTGCCTCTGCAGTCCGGGCAGCGGAGGGTGGCGGGGCTGGGGCGCTCCCCGGACGGGGGAGCCCGGGACGGGACTCGCTACCTTCGCCGGGCGGCGGGGAGGGCTGGCCCAAGGGGGCGCCGAGGGCTCCCCGCTCCCGGGGCAGCCGTCCCGCCGCCGCCTCTCGGGAGGGGGGCGCCGGGCTCCCATCCCCGGGGGGGCTGCCCCGCCGCGGCCCCGCGCCCCTCGGCCGCTGTGCCCGGCTCTCCCGCGCCAATCACCGCACTTGGCCGTGCCGCTTAAATATGCAGCGGATACGTCATCTCCGAAGGTGGATCGGGCGTAAGTGGCCAATATCTATATAAATGTGGCCGAGGGGCGAACCGGCAGCAGGAGGCGAGCGGGGCCGGGCGGGCAGCAGCCGGCAGGGCCCTCCGTGCAGCGCCCGCCGCCGGTAGCCGGTCTGACAGCCGCCCGCAGCCGCCCGCCCTTTCCCCGCCGCCGGAGGAGGATGCCGGCCGGGCTCTCCTGGCCCGAGGCGGCGGCGCTGGCGCTGCTGGTCCTGGCTATGCTGGTCACCCTATGCCGGCACCTGTGGGCGCTGCGCTGGAGCCTCAGCCGGGACCGGGCCAGCGCCCTGCCCCTGCCCAAAGGCTCCATGGGCTGGCCCTTTTTTGGGGAGACTCTGCACTGGCTGCTCCAGGTAAGGCGCTGGAGGATGAGGGCGGGGTGGGAGGGGGCTGGTAGAAGCCATAGGCTGACCCGCAGCTCGTCCCCAGGGCTCCCGCTTCCATAGCTCACGGCGGGAGAGATACGGAAACGTCTTCAAGACCCACCTCCTGGGCCGGCCCGTGGTGCGGGTGACGGGCGCTGAGAACATCCGCAAGATCCTTCTGGGCGAGCACACGCTGGTCAGCACGCAGTGGCCCCAGAGCACCCATATCATCCTGGGCTCCCACACCCTGCTCAGCTCCACCGGTGACCTGCACCGCCAACGCCGCAAGGTGAGCCTTGCGTCCAGCCCGACAGGGCGCACAGCCCAGGCGGCACCTCCGCCCAGGCTTGAGCCTCGGTGACATGTGTCCCCCCTGCTTTAACTACCTGCCTCTCTTCCCCCCTTCTCCTCCTAGATCCTGGCCAGAGTCTTCAGCCGTGCTGCCCTGGAGAGCTACCTTCCACGGATCCAGAAGGTTGTGAGCTGGGAGCTGCGGGGCTGGTGCATGGAGCCGGGCTCCATCGCAGTTTATTCCTCCGCTAAAACCTTAACTTTCCGCATTGCAGCTCGGATTCTGCTGGGGCTCCGCCTGGAGGAAAAGCAGTTCAAGGATCTGGCCAAAACTTTTGAACAGCTGGTGGAGAACCTCTTCTCCCTGCCCCTCAACATACCCTTCAGCGGGTTGCGCAAGGTACTGCTGCATGTCCCATTCCCTCTGGCTGGGGGCAAGGGCCTGGGCCCTTAGCAGCACGGACCTCCTGTCCCCAGGCCCGCCAAGGGGCACTTCCAATGGGTCAGAACATCTGCAGCACCCCATTCCAGGTTGAGGGCTTGGTGTCTCACCTAATTCAGCCATTTCCCTTTCTCTGCACTTCCCACCTGCTCCTGGTTGACTTCCAGCACCTTTGGGTGCTGGCTGCAGTTCATTGTACCATGCAGGGCTTCTCTTCTCCCTCATCCCATGTTGCCTCTGGTTATTTCATCATGTCTGGGCCCGTCCCATCTCATCCCAACTGGACTCATGTCAGCCCACAGCAGAGGGGTCTGTGGGCATGAGCACAAAGACAGGTGGGCACAGCACAGCTCACTTTAGCACCCCCTGTGCAACTCAGGCAGGCCAAGGACTTGGGACCTCCTATGGTCCTTGGTCCCTTATAGCCAAGCAGCACAGAGACAGCCCAGGGAGAGGAACATGGCACACAGTCTCCTCTGCCTCAATTTGCAGTTTCCTCCCTGCTGCTCTGCTCCTCTTTGCCTGCCTCCCTACACTCCTGCTCTAGGTATCGGTCCTGTGTACCTCCTCTCACATTACCCCCTCTTCTGACTTCAGGTTCTCCACACTTACCACAGCTGAAGTCTCCTGCCCACTTTAGCCAGGTCTTCCCTCATCTCTTATTTCCACTGTGAGCTCTGCCCTATTGGATCATCTTACCCAGCCAGTCCCAGTTCACCCCCAGCCTTCCTGCTGTTCTTCACCAGTTCAAAGCTCTGGTTTTCCCTGTCCAGTTTTCCTTTGCAGGTTGGCACAGTGTGAGCTTTCACCCCTCACAGCCTACTGCTCTCTGCCCTCTCTCAGGTCAGCCACAGCCTGTCTGGCCCCAAACCAATATGTTCAACTTGCATTTAGGTCCCCTTGTCTTTCCCCTTGTTCCCTGCGCCCTGTTTACTTTGTCCAGTCCTTCCCACCTCAAAGCTAAGCCTTTGTATGTTTTTCCCAACATCTGGTCATGGCCATTTTTCATTCCAAATCTCATCCTTCTGGCTTTTGCAGGAAGCATCTTGATAGAGAGCCACACACTCTGTGACTCCATCCCACTTTGCAAAGAGATTGCTGATCAATTGACTTGTTGAGATCTTAAATTACTGTTTTGCTGCACTGGAGAGCAACACAACTGAAGATGAGCTGGCTATGATTAATGTGTCTTCTTCCCTGGTTAAGCCACTCATTTGATCCTGTTTCAGATGTGCCTTGCTGCCTGGAGTGAGTTTTATTTAAAAGTTACCTCTTCTTGTTCCTTTGGGCAAGCTTTTTTTGGGCAGATGCAGATGCCTCTGGACTTGGTACCACAGGTTTACTGCTGTCTTTTCCTCTCAGAATTCCTTGTGACTTGTTGTATTTGATTCACAACAGCAAAGCAACAGGACATGCAGCAGTTCCCCTAAACTGCTGCCTCTTGCAAGGCTCTGGGGCTGGGCAACAGACTAAACTGTTCTTGCTGTTACAGATCCTGGATTTAAGGATTGCTACACGTGGGCTCCCCTGGTATGTCAGGAGAGGGGGGGAGTTCCTAAGGTTCTCCTGAACTTTGTCTGCCTCTCACAGGGAATAAAAGCACGGGACACGCTCCATGAGTTTATGGAGAAGGCTATACAGGAAAAACTGCAGAGAAGCAACCCAGAAGATCACAGTGATGCTCTGGATTTCATAATGAACAGCGCCAAGGAGCACGGCAATGAATTCACCGTGCAGGAGCTAAAGGTAAGGATGAACCCAGTAGTCCTTACTGAACCTAAACCACCAACTGAATGGGAAGAGTGTTTTCCCAAAGATCTTGGGAAAAAATTGTCATTAGTACTGCATCATTCATAGTTCCAGGTCACTTGGTATCAGTGAACGACAGATGACACTGGATTTATATAACAAGTTTTGAAGCAGTTTTGCATGTGTACAGCAGCTGAATATAGTTCAAAAGTATTTGAATATAGTTTAAAGGTAGTTTCACTGCTTACTTAAGTATTTAAGGAAAACTGTCTGAAGATTAATATTTTATAAATATTTTGGAAAAAGGTAATCTCTAAACTATTTCAAAAACTTTGAGCAACTAGTAGATATAATTAGAATCAGCATATGTTCGTAAAGTAATTTTATTATAATTAAGTATATTATTTATTCTAATAGAATATTTTTATTATAATGTATTTTTTAAATCATTGAAATATTAAAAATGTGATTGATTAAGGTTAATTTCTCTCTATTAGTGTTCACATGAATATTACACCTGAATAATTTCACAGTCTCTCATCATGTCCCCGGCTCTGACCATAAATGCAATAAGGGGATATTAAATGTAACATGGAGTTATATGGCAGTAATTTGGGGCCAGCTGATTGGAATTATAGTATATAAGATATACTATAATATATATTATATATAAAAGTACATATATATATACTTTAGGATATGCTGTCCTGTCACATTACGGTTAGAAAATTTCTATCTTGTCTGTATTTAACAAAATTACTTGCAAACCAAACTGCCTATGCTTGTGAGTATGGCAATATTCACTCTGATATAACAGTAGCAGAGCTCTTATTCCACTAAATGGTGTAATTGGATAAAAAGTTCAAAGCTGTCTCAGAGACATCTGTCTTTGAGAGACCCCCCAAACACTGGCACAGACTAGTTAGTAATTTGCTTTGTGTTCAAATTATTTGGAAGGACAGTCTTTCCAGAAGTTTTCCTAAATACACTGCTGACATGAACTCACCAGGACCCTTGAAATGTAAAGGTCATTAAAAAGATATTGCTTTGCCAAAAGTACTGTTTTAAATTATTAAAACCCTGGGAAGATTAAAAAAACTCCATCCTACATAATGGTGCTGTCACTGGCTGGATGGGTGGAACTGTAATGCTGCCTGTCCTGCCCCCCGGGACAGGGAATTGGGCTGTAGCACAGGGACAATACTGGTGAAACTTGGGAAGGTGCTGCCTTCCAGGCACTGGTTTTGTTGGCCTTGTAGAAGCAGGAAGGCAATGTCAGCAGCTCAGTGTCACAGCTTCCTCACCAGCACTGTCAGAGGTTGATGCAGAGAGTCGTAAGGGCTGTTATTTCAAATCGCAGAGCTTGCCCTAAATTCCTTGCATGCTATTGAAATGTCTTGGGGTTTAATTGCAAGTGGTAGAACTGAGAGCTTTCATTTCATCTGGATCTGCTACCTTGTGAGTGTAAAAATTCCTGCTCATGCCTGCAGGAGGTGTGATAGGGGTCGACAGGGATCTGTTATTCCAGAGGTTTCATTTCAGCTGAAAGATGCCCTTGAGAGCTGCACTTTGGCAAAAGCATCTAGTCCAGCCAATATATGGCACTGGGAATGGTAGCAAAGAGTCATCCTTGTTACATTATCCTTGACCTTATCAGACTTGGGTCCAAGTATGTTCAGGCTTCAGGTGTCCTCCTCTGTGTTTGTGGCTTCACCTCTCCAGAACGGGTTATGTCGGAACAACTTAGAAGTCCAGACACACAGTCGTGTGAAAGGAAACTGCTCTGTGTCCTTGGGGGATTTTGCTCTGCTTTGCCCTTGGACTGGAGCAATTAGTGCTCTGTAGTGCCAGCCAGGTCCCAGTCCTCCCAGGGTGGCAGCTATTCCTCCCTTTGGCTTCTCCCCAGCTTTTGTCTCTGGCCTCTGGCCCTGGTGCTCCCAGTCTTGTGCTGCGGAGCCGCTGGCACCTTCAGATGGTGTTGTAGGTTTGAGCATTACATTTGCTGTCAGAGACATGATATGCCATGACCCAGCTCTGGGCAACATTTAACTTTTGGTGAACCATTTGCGAAAGTTCACCAGAGGGTGCTGCAAACAGCCCACAGCAACCTGGTGTGTGTTTTGCCATGCAGACCCTGCAGACAGTCCCGCAAGGACTGGGAAGCTGCGTGGGGATCTGTGAACTGGGACAAGGCACATACGACAGATTTGACTGTTCTGTGTCCATCTTTCTAAGCGGGTTAACTTCCTAACTTGTAATGTTGATACATCAGGAATACTGCTGTGCTTCAGGTTGTAAAGCTTGAAAGGTAAGCAAGTCCTTTGCCCGGTGTGTGCTCCCTGACAGCTACAGCACTTCCCAGGCTGACCCGGTGTAGCAGGGAGGTCTTTCTGCTTTTGACTCTTGGCTTCAGTCCCCTCCCAGATAAGCAAATGGTCAATTATAACCGGAGATGCATCAAATGCGATCCATTTTAGCTGCCAGCACATCTAGGGTTTGTGCATAAACACACTCATATCCACTGCCTGGGCAGAAAAGTAAAAGGTGGGTGCAAAGGGGAATTGGCAGATGAAGAGAAAAAGCATAATGCTTGAAATGGACTTCACTCAGTGTGCTATAATGCATGTTAAAATGCTGCTTTAAAATTGGTAAATCTTAGGAGGAAACCTCAGACGAGCTGTATTGGTGGTGATGTGTACTCAGCTGTGTTTCTGTTTTTCATCAATCACTTAGCAAGTGGATATCCAGTTCATAAATGGTTTGCTCCCTGCCAACCCAGGATGGGTGCAGGTTTGTGGAAAACAGAGTGGGGGCCAGGGCTCTCTGCAAAGGGATAAAATCTGAAAAAGATGAGAACAGTTTAAATCACAATCAGTTTAAAATGGCATTCAAACTTGTCACCTTCATTCCTCCCCCAGGAGTCAGCAATTGAGCTCATATTTGCTGCTTTTTTCACCACGGCTAGTGCCAGCACCTCTCTGATCCTCCTGCTACTGAAGCACCCCTCAGTGATTGAAAAAATAAGGCAGGAGCTGATGTCCCATGAACTGTACCAGCAGTGTGAGTGCCACCCTGCAAGACCCTCCCCGGACACCCTGACCATGCAGAGCAGGGACAGAGAGAAACCACGTTTCCACTCCGTGGCCAAAGATGTTCACGAGGATCAGAGCCAGCCCCCGGCCCCAGTGGAGGAAGGTTCCCTCCAGTCTGGTGCCCCGCTGGAGCCCATCCTCCCCGAGAGCAGCCTCTGCACTGGCTCCCAGCTCCAGGCACCATCAAGGCAGAGCTGTCACTGCTCCTCGGACATCAGTCTGGAGAAGCTGAGCCGCCTGCGCTACCTGGACTGTGTGATTAAGGAGGTGCTGCGGGTGCTGCCCCCAGTCTCTGGAGGCTACAGGACGGCACTGCAGACTTTTGAGCTCGATGTAAGTGCCTTGCAGGTGGTTAGGGAACTGCTGCCCGTCATTGCATGCAAGCACAGCGCAGTGGTGGTGCCTGGCAGTGTAGCTCAGGGAGAGGTGGCACCCAGCAACCTCTGTGGGCCCCAGCTCAGCTGGGGAATAAAGGAGCTACAGATCAGGTGGGCAGTGTGTTGGGGCTGTCCTCTGCTCACCCTCTACTAGCACGGGTAGGTAACACTCCTCTCCTCCCCTCTTCTCTCCCCTCCCAGGGCTACCAGATCCCCAAAGGCTGGAGTGTCATGTACAGCATCCGTGACACACATGAGACAGCTGCTGTCTACCAGAGCCCCCCCAGCAGCTTTGACCCAGACCGCTTCGGTGCCGCCCGGACGGAGGCTGCAGGCCGGTTCCACTACATCCCCTTCGGTGGTGGGGCACGGAGCTGCATCGGGAAGGAGCTGGCACAGGCCATCCTCAAGCTGCTGGCCATTGAGCTGGTCAGCACAGCCCGCTGGGAGCTGGCCACCCCTGGCTACCCCGCCATGCAGACCGTGCCCATCGTGCACCCCGTCGATGATGGGCTGCAGCTCTATTTCCACCCCTTGTAGCCTGGCCATGGCTGTGGGGCCTGAGCGAGGGGTACACTGCTCCCCTCAGCCCTGGAGCTGATGCCCCTCCACAGCTGCTGAGTGCAGGTGTTCACTGCCTCAGGCTGGGTATGGCACTGGGTCACTGCAGAGCAAAACCTAAAGGTCTGTTTCTCCCCTCCTAGCGTACAGGCTGCTAGGGAGGGTCCTGCAGAGTCACACTCCTGAGCACTAGGGTGAACCTCAACCCCAGCCTGGGGGCAAAACCCACTGAAGTTGCTGGCAGGGATCATACACCATGGGGGCTCAGAGAGCCCCCACCCCATACAGGTCTCCAGCTACCAGGGATGTGGAGCAAAACTCCCAGGCCCACAACTATGGCTCCCAGAGCATTTCTGTCACCGGGTTGTCTCCTGCGTGTGTGTTATAGGAGAGGCAGGATGAACATCCTGAACACTGTAGCTTTTTAGATGTAAAAAGAAGGAAGATGGGGGGCTCTGCAGGAAAACACTAGCCAGAGCTGCCCAATTCATGGCATCAGCTCTAGCTAGAATAATAGGGTGTAAAGTGGTTTTTATTGTAAATATTTAATCTCATTCCTGCACTTCCGATTAGAGCTGGCACAAAGAGGATATCTCTCATTCACCCAGTAGTAGTAGCTGCATATGTTGTGTTGAGCACTGTGCTGCTGCTTGGGGTCTGCCATGAAGCCCCACTCTGGGGTCTCCACAGGATGTACTGAAGCATGGGAGGGGGCTTTGGGGAGCAAACATTTAGAAAATGGACATTTCTGAATATGTCTGATTAGTGGTAGACAGTCCCTTGTTCCTGGTGATGCTGTTCACACTGCAGAGGGGACATTTGCAAGGTGATACAGGCCCTGTGGTGGCTGGCTGGCCAGACTGACCTTGTCACCTGTCAGCCTAGCTCTGCCAGAGGAAGTGCCAGGACAGCAGCTCCAGGGTCCATCCACAGGGTGGTAGCTGGGGCTAAGCTTGGGTTCTGAAAGCACCTTTCTAGATGGCTTTTGAGTACCACCACAGGGTGTTTCTCTCCCGTGTAAAATGAAGTGAGTCCTGTTGCTTGTGTACTGGTAACAGAGCTGGAGCCAGATCTTTGATCCACAACAACATGTTTTTAAGCTTCTCCAGTTTCCCCTTTGCTCCCCACTGTCATGCATCCTGTGTGGATGCAGTGGGGAAAATAATCTGCCTTGTCTCTCCAGAGCATCCTGTGCCTGGTGGTGTGGTGTGCTCTGTGTGAAGCACCAGCTTGACCTGTGAGGGCCAAAATGTTGCACAGTGTTCCTTTGGAAAGGCCCTGCGAGCTCTCCAGTCTCCTGAAACTGTCATCATCCTGCTTCAGTGCGAGGCTGGAAATGACCTCACCCTGGCCAGTCCCCCTTGACTGTGCTGGGGCACTGCAGCAGGGTGTGTGCCGCCGCTGGCTGTCTGAGGGCTGCGCAGTGACCACTCCACTACCTGGGGCAGAAATGTGGCTCCCAAATGTAACAGGTCAAATCTGGAAGAGGTTGAACTGCGGGGCTGAGTTAAGTGCTGTTGGCAGGCCAGCCCTGTAGCGAACCAGAGCCTCTGGCCCTCCTGACCTTGTCCCGAAAGGTGAATCTTTTGCTTATCAGAGGTGAAATCAGTAGATGGTGGGTGCAAGGCAATGACTAACTTTAATAGCAGGAGCTGCTGGCTGACTGAGACCGCGGACGATTCAGGGTCCCACCGCAGGCAGGGCTGCGGGCAGGGCTGAGCCCGGTGCAGAAGGGTCGGGGCTTCTCCAGCAGCGCACTTAAAAATTACCCCGAGCGCTAACGAGCCCTGTAGCCACCCGCTGAAAAATGTAACATGAATCTAGTTAAAAAAAAAAAAGACTTGAAACTGATTTTGTTTGCAGATAAACACGAGCATTTACAAATGAAGTGTAATAATTGTTACTTGTAATCAAAGTTTGTTCATATTAGGCTGTTAATTTCTTGACCCCCTTCCAAGATGTTTTTAATTATCCCTTTCACTCTTTACCATTTGATTCTTTTCAAGCCGATGGCTGGGGAATACACAGCTGGGGAGATAATAAAGCCTTCCTGTGGCAATTATCGGTGCTCAGGCCACCGTATCTCGTTATTTTGATAGACAGTGAACTTGGCGCGGTTGCCGGCCGGGTTCACGCAGATGTCACGGTCCGTGTTGTAGGTCACAAGCAGGTCAGCGCCCGGCAAGGGGAGAGCGCCGGGTCAGGGCGCGGCCGCCGCTCCCGGACGGGCCCCGCGGAATCGCCCGGGATTGCGGCGTACCCCGAGGGGCTGGTTCCTACGGGGCCAGGGGACTACCCTCTGGGGGGGCTCCCTCTTGGGCAAGGGGGTGCGGAGGGCGGCAGCTCCGCTCCCGCAAGGCATCGTAAGAGCAGGGAGGGTCCCGTGTGATGCGCTGATTGTTAGAAAAATAATTAAAAGTGACATCTCCCTCTCCCATACACAGACACACACACAAAACTTCCAGCGTTTATTGGGCTTGTCTGGGAGCAATAAAGCAAAAGTAACAGAGAGGGAAGAGGTAAAAACTGTAAAATAAATAAAAAAAAAAAGCGAGCACATTAGTTTATCGGCAGCAGCCGTGCCCGGCGGAGAGCTCCGCGGCCCCGCAGTCGCGCTCCGCGCCGGGCACCCCTTGCCCAGCGGCTTCTGCCGGGACACAGCAGCGGCCCCAGCCCCAGCTGGCACAGCCTGCCCATCCCCGCCGGGCGCCCCGGTACCGCCGCTCTTCCCGCCCGGGGCCGCCGCTCCCGCCCGAGCGCAGTCCCCGGTGCCCGCCGGCGCCGGGAGCGAGCCCCTCTGCGCCGCGCCTGCAGGAGAGGTGCCCGCCGGTGCTGAGCGCCTCTTTCCGACCGCGGCAGCCCCGACGGGATGCCGGACAGCCTCAGACGAGGGTGAGCAGTGGATCCCGGGGAGAGAAGCTGGGCACGGCGGGTTTGGTGTTTCCTTTCCGCCCTCACCTCCCTTTCCCTCGGTGACCCGCGCTTGAACCTGCATCGGGAGGCTGACACGGACTGTTGCCGGCGGCTCCTTCCTCTGCGGCCGGCAGAAATACAAGCCGGGCCTTTCGAGGTGAACCAGGGGACAGCGGAGTCTCCTCCGCCGATGCAGCGGCACAGCTGCTGCTCTGCCCGAGGTGCCGCCGGGCTGCCCCAGCACCGGGGTCCGGCTCCTCTCGGCTCCGGCCGCTACATTGCCATTCCCGGCCGGCGACAGCGGCGGGCGAGCGAAGGAGCTCCGCAGCTCGCAGAGCGCACCGGCGCCGGCCGGGCAGCGCCCCGGGGGTAGGTGTCTGTCTGCGGGCAGCCGGGCCCCCGGGTGCTGGCGGGGGACATTTCTCGGTGCAGCTGCTGGTCTGTAACGAGCATCGGCGATAAATCCGAGGAGCAGGATGAGGAGGCGGCCGCCGCCGGTTGTCAGCGGCGTCCCGCAGCCCACTCGCCGAGCGCGGTGCAGGGGCAGCGAGCCCGGAGCCTCTGCCACCGCTCCCGGCGGCACCTTTCCTTCCCGGCAGCGTTTTGCGGCGGGCAGGATGCACCACGCAAAGCAAATAGTTAAAGATTTCAGGGGGAGGAGCCAGGCCGCAATCCGCAATTAAAGATGAACTTTGGGTGAACTAATTTATCGGACCAAGGTAGGGTGGGCAGCAACCTGGAAAGGGTATAAAAGGCGGCCCGCGGCGAGCCCGGCCCGCGCACTCGGAGCTCCCAGGGGGCCGGGCGGGACTAGCTCCCCAGTCATGGGCTTCTCTGTCCTGGTCGCCAGCGCCCTGTGCACCTTCCTGCTGCCCCTGCTACTGTTTCTAGCCGCCGTCAAGCTCTGGGACTTGTACTGCGTGAGCAGCCGCGACCCCAGCTGCCCGCTTCCACTGCCCCCGGGCACCATGGGGCTCCCCTTCTTCGGGGAGACGCTGCAGCTGGTGCTGCAGGTAAGGCGAGGCGATGCCGCGGGGAGCGGAGAGGCTCCCCGGCTGCTGCTCTAGCGGCAGGAGAGGGAGATGAGCAGCAACTTTGCCAGGCTCCCGTGCCCAGGTGGGAACGAGCTGCTCTCCCTGCCTTTTCCTCTCCTCCCTTTTAAAATTTATTTTATCATTCTCCCTTTTTCTCTGTCCAGAGGCGGAAATTCCTACAGATGAAGCGCAGGAAATACGGGTTCATCTACAAGACTCACCTCTTTGGGCGGCCCACGGTGCGGGTGATGGGCGCAGAGAACGTGCGGCACATCCTGCTGGGCGAGCACCGGCTCGTCTCTGTGCAGTGGCCCGCCTCGGTGCGCACCATCCTGGGCTCAGGCTGCCTCTCCAACCTCCACAACGGGCAGCACAAGCACCGCAAAAAGGTACGGCCCGACGGCGCGCGGGGAGCGGGCGCGGTCGCCTCGGATGCGGCGGCTGAGCCTCTGTCTCGTTCCTCCTCGTCCCTTCGGCCAGGTGATCATGCGAGCCTTCTCCCGGGACGCCCTGCAGCACTACGTGCCCGTCATCCAGGAGGAGGTGAGCGCCTGCCTGGCGCGGTGGCTGGGCGCCGCCGGGCCCTGCCTGCTGGTGTACCCCGAGGTGAAGCGCCTCATGTTTCGCATTGCTATGAGGATCCTGCTGGGTTTCCAGCCCCGCCAGGCCAGCCCCGACGGCGAGCAGCAGCTGGTGGAGGCCTTCGAGGAGATGATCCGCAATCTCTTCTCCCTCCCCATCGATGTGCCGTTCAGTGGGCTCTACCGGGTAAGGTTCACGGTGGGCCAGGAGGAGACAGGTACCCTTGCAGCCGGGGCAGTGGGAAATGGGTGGGAGGAACGGCAGTACAGCCCAGGTTCCACATTGCTCTCCCTGTTGCTTGGCCAGGGCTTGCGGGCACGCAACATCATCCATGCCAAGATCGAGGAGAATATCCGTGCCAAGATGGCCTGCAAGGAACCCGAGGGTGGCTATAAGGATGCACTGCAGCTGCTGATGGAATACACACAGGGCAATGGGGAGCAGCTCAATATGCAGGTAAAGTTCTCCAGGGCCGGATCCATCCCTTTCCCCCAGCCCCTTTGTCATCATCACACTTATATTTTGGATAAAAAGGAGGGAGCAGGAGGTGCTCCCTCTCCCCACGGAATAAACCAACTTGTGTTAAGCACTGGGGTGCAGAGGTTGCAACCATGCTGTTGGATGGGGAGACATGTCCACAGGGAGAATAAGCACCTCTGATCACCTCCATCTTGGCTCCTGGGTGTCTCCTCCAATCTGGGAGCAATGCACAGCATTGCAGTGGTAAAATGGGCTTGATACAGATACTGTGTTTAGGGCCTGGTTTATCTCTCTTCTTTTCTTTGTGTAAGGAGCTGAAGGAGTCTGCCACAGAGCTGCTGTTTGGGGGCCATGAAACCACTGCTAGTGCTGCCACATCGCTGATTGCCTTCCTAGGGCTCCACCACGAAGTCCTGCAGAAAGTGAGGAAGGAACTGCAGGTGAAGGTGTGTATCTTCCCCAGAGCCATTTCAAGGAAGGGGCAGTGGGAAGGTACCTCCAGGACAGGTGTCCCAGACAGGGCTCCCTTTGACCCGGGTGGTACCCTTATTCTAGAGGTGGCTTAGGGGGGCAGCTCCTTTGCAGTGCCAGGAGTCCCGGCTCCATGAATGTCATGGCAGCATCTTTCTTTCTAGGGGTTACTGTGCAGTTCCAACCAAGAGAAGCAGCTGGACATGGAGGTC